CGCTATATAAGTAAAATTGAATTGAATTGAATTGAACTATGAAACACACTGTCCAACATGCTCAAACAGTGCACAAGATGTCTCCATAGTCTATTACAGACATAAATATTGATTCTACTAACCTCCTTTTAACCGTAAAAGAAAAGCAAGATTTATTTCTGTATTAAAATCCTAATAAAATGTCAACTTTTTTGTTAAATAATGGATATGGAGCTTAAAAGATAACTTATCATAAACCCAGATATTTAAAACTAGAAACTAGTTCAATCTGATGACCCAGACCAGTAGAAGTTGACCTATACTCTGTTTTTCTTTGAGCAAACACTCAGCAGCTCTAAATGGTCCGCTTGGAAACAGAGCGCTTGGACAGGAACGTTTAGCAGGGTGTGGTTAAATGGTCAGACAACATGGCCATCAAATTGACTGTTTTAGTTTAAACCTATGGGTTAGCACGCTGAAGTGTCCTTGAAGACTTACCCACTCATTCTGGGCGTTTATGCCTGACACAGGTCCCTCTTGATGGAGGAATTGAAAAAACAAACTCAATGGATCTACAAAGGCGTACAGCCTTTCAACAATGTCTTTGAAGATGTTTGTGCTATCTGAATTATAAAAACCTATAGGGAGCATAGTTAAGCTGCAGTGTCCAGTGACCTCCATGCTTTTCTGCGTCCTGGTGGAACTGACTAATGCAGCAGGACATGCCGTTTGTCAGAGCCAACTTTTAAAACCCAGACAGTGTGAAATATTGTCCTTTATAACACATTCATGGTCAAGTTCACCTGAAGGCAAATTAGAAAAGAGAAACTGAATGTCAAAACTAAAGAAAATGTTAAAACTGATTCACGTGGGTCTCTTCTGAGTCTGGTGTGTGTGCTAAGGGCTCCCTCGTGTGGCAGCGAACAGATACCAGAGATAATGGGTTATTCTGGGGTTTCATTCATTCAGTTCATTAAACACAATAAGTAAATGTCATTCCATGTTTATAGTGTTTTCCCACAGATGGATTAAAACTTTTTTAATAAGTGTCCACACATGTATGTGTGATGTTAGATACACCTCTGTTGTAGCTTGTCAACATAAATATCGAATCAGCCAACAGCATGGCTCAAGTTGGTGCATTTAAGTGTACAGATGCTGTCACTACGACTTCCAGATGTTCAAACCGAGTGTGTGTGTGTGTGTGTGTGTGTGTGTGTGTGTGTGTGTGTGTGTGTGTGTGTGTGTGTGTGTGTGTGTTCCAAATCCAACACCCTGAGACTGTACACTAGCTGTGAGGAAAGCATAGCATAGCATAGCATAGCATAGCATAGTTTATTTATATAGCACGTTTAAAATGCAGCATGGGAGCTGCCCAAAGTGCTGCACAGGCTAAAACAAAACACAAGGAGCTAAAACAAAGGATAAAAATCTCAATCAAAGGCAGATAAAACATGATGAATACTAAGAACACATTAAAACAATGATACAATAAAACACTAAAACGAGTCACTGTCTAAAAGCCAAAGTGTAAAAGTGGGTCTTTAAACGAGATTTAAAAACCGCCAGAGACAGAGCCTGCCGAACTCCAATGGGCAATGAGTTCCATAGCTTTGGGGCAGCATGCACAAATGCTCGATCCCCCCGCGATTTGAGTCTCATCCGCGGCGTGTACAGCAGTAAAAGGTCAGCCGACCTCAACGTGCGAGTGGGCACATATGGAGTGAGAAGGGCAGAGAGGTAGGGAGGTGCCAGGTCATTGAGTGCTTTAAAAACAAAAGTCAGTAACTTAAACTGCACTCTGAAAATGACTGAGGCTGGGGACTAGTGAGTGTGAGAGCCACTGCCCAGGATAAAACATCCAAGATCCATAAGTACATCAAAGACAAGGCCCAAACAGATGATGGACTCAGTGAATGTCTCAGACAATGGTGAACAGAGGACGAGACGCTGGAAATACCATTGCGGGAGGACAAACCTCTACATGGGATGTATCACAGACAGATAACTGAAGTGGTTGATATCAACAAATCCTACCAATGGCTAGAAAGAGCTGGGCTTAAGGACAGCTCAGAGGCATTCATCTTGGCTGCAGAGGAACAGGAGCTGAACACCAGAGCAACAGAGACCCGCACCAGACAAGACCAAAGGTGTTTAGTTTAGGTTGGTTTTATTGTACTAGGACAACATAAAAGACAATGTAAGGGCAATGCAACCATTGCTTTGTACAGAGGTTTTCTAGCCAGAAGCTAATTTGCAAACCTAGTTCTTGGACTTTTAGAGACAATCAACATTTATTACCACACACACACACACACACACACACACACACACACACACACACACACACATACATACGTACATACACAGGCAATGCAAATGCTATTTGATGTAGGCTTTGCCAAGAAGCCCCTGAGACAATCCACCACATAACTGCAGGGTTTAAGATGCTGGAAGGGAAAGCAAAGCATACAAGTGGCTGGTATATTGTACAAGAAGATCTGTGCAGAGTATGGACTGGAAGCCCCAAGGTCAAAGTGGGTAAGACCCCTTAAGGTGGTAGAGAACGAGAGAGCCAAGCTCCTGTGGGACTTCCAGATCCAGACTGACAAAATGGTGATGGCGAACCAACCGGACATTGTGGTGGTGGACTAACAACAGAGGACAGCTGTTGTGGTTGATGTGGCGATTCCAAGTGATGGTAGCATCAGGAAAAAGGAACACAAGAAACTAGAGAAGTACCAGAGCCTAAAAGAAGATCTCGAGAAAGCCTGGAGAGCGAAGACATTGGTGCTGCCCGTGGTCATTGGGACACTTGGGGCAGTAACCCTTAACCTGGAGGAGTGGCTAAAGCAGATCCCAGAAAAAACATCAGACATCTCAGCTCAGGAAAGTGAAGTTCTAGGAACAGCTAAGGTACTGCACAGAACCCGAGAGAGAGAGAGAGAGAGAGAGAGAGAGAGAGAGATAAGTTTCTGAGTGAAACTTGAACAAATAAGTAAAATGAAATAATTGTAAACCTATTTTCCCAAAAGCTCCGAAATAACATTCAGCATGAAGGGGATTTTATGGAACACGAGGAGGCTGATGTTCCCACTGGGACTGTTAAAACACTGCATGACTGTAAAACTCCAGAAGGTGGCAGTCTTTCTTCATGCTTCCCACAGGATTAAATGATTGCAGGAGATGAGCGTCCCACACCACGCTGACTAATTAAAAGCCCCAAAACTGACCACAAATCAGCACGAGTGGCTGGAACACCATCAGCAAAAACGTTAAACATTACTCATGTGTTGGAACATTTTCAAAGGCTGGTAGAAATGTGTGAATAAGACTAACTGAAGTGATTCATCTCGATTTACTCCATGAGCAAGGTGTGGGCATTAAGGAAGGTGGGTTTGATTTTCTGAGGTAAGACATTATTCATCACGCAGTGGGCGTTTCTCTTCCCTATAACACCAAACAAATCAGAATTTCCAAATCAGTGCTAGTTTCTTCAGTTTTCTTATGTGTCACACAAATCCATTAACATATTTCAGTATCAAAGATAACCTGAGCAAATAAAAAGGCAGTTTTTTAACTATAAATTCCTTTATTAGGAGAAAACGTTGTCCAAGCCACCCCGGATCATTGTGAACAAAGATTTCCTTCCTGGTTAAATCACGAATGCATTTCTTTAATGAAGAAATCTCTCCAACACAGCCTATCAGATAACACCAAGTAAGCTCAAAGCTCAAAAAGCAACAAATATTCATTTCTAAAGAAAATTGAGACCAAAGAAAAACAAAAACGTCTTAAAGGAATAAAGGCTGTACTTAGTTAATAGGTTGGTTTAGAAAAAGCTTTTTTTTAAAATAATTTCATCATTTGAAAATTACATTTTGTTTATCCTCGTTTGCTTAGATGAAACATTTTTGTGTGACACAAAATCAAAATAGGAAATAACATCTAATGTGGCAAATGCAGCCCTGCCAATATCATTTATGTTATGTGGTTCTTTAAATAAAACTTGACATATTTGTTTCAGTGTTTTTACCGATCTGGAACATAAATATTTGACGGCTACACCCCACCAGCATGTGCATTGTTCCTCGGTGAGGTAGGTAAGGCCCCGTCCCTCCTACACCTCTGTTCCCCACCTGTCTGAACCGGGCTGGGCGTGTTTTAACTCCCAAGGGAGACTTACTCCAGATTAGTTTCACCTCTCCAGAAATTTCTTGGAAAAATCTAACCAGCAGGAAACTTGAAGTCACGGTAAGAGTGCTTTCATGTTTAAATGAACAACTCAGTAACAGTTAGGTCAGGTTTGACCTGTCCAGGTGTGTTTGATCAAAAGAACTTTATTAACTGAGCACCACGAAGGCTCATAGTCCAGGTGCTGATCAGCGTAAGGCTAACAGAGTAGGAAGTACATATTTACTAGTACTAGTTTGAACTGGTCTGCTGGGAAACACAAACCCCAGTTAAAGTAAACATGAAAGGATGTGATTTGGGTCAGTTTTATGTTGTCTTTGAGGAGAAATCTTGATATTCTGTTAAAATGATCCCCGCCAACTAACATCATTGTCTAATATGCTGGGAACAAATGCATCATATTCAAGCACATCTCATGCAAGATCACACTTGAAACTGTACTCTGAAGCAGCACAAAGAGATTAGAGTGTGTTCATTAAATCTGCCCCCCTCGGCTACACATTTCCACTTCCTTCTAGCAGCAGGACTAGCAGCACAAGCATTCTGTTTCCACACGATTTCACATTAAGTTACCAGAGAGTGGTGCAGTGAGTGAGTGGAGGTTGTTTAGTGTGCTCTCTCTTGCACCAAATTCGTGTCCGTGCTCGTTACACATTCCATCGTTGCACCCTGCCCACTTCCCCCCCCCCCCCTTCCACCCCCTCCACCGTCCTTGTTTTTCCGATCTGCCCGAAGTCTTGCATCTATTCGCTCTTGTTTCATCGAACTCAACCTATCAGCCAGCAGATCAGCGTCATTATCAGCAACACTGTTCAGCAGAGTTCTGCAGGCTCATCTCTTCTCTCTGAAGTCACCAGCTCGTGCGTGTGTGTGTGTGTGTGTGTGTGTGTGTGTGTGTGTTTGTGAAGTCTCAGTTAAAAAATGTTCTGGCTGACTTCAAGGGCTGCAGTATCATTGCAGAGACACTGCAGCAGAAGCATTGCTTTATGAGGTCAGACAAAAAATAAACACAGAAATTTACCAAGGCTTGACATGTTTTCATCCAGTTTGACACATTTTGTTCCAGGCCATAGAAGATTAAGTGAGCATTTAGGAAATGTCTGTTTTCCTTTTTGAATTTGCAAGTTTTACGAATCTGCAAAGAGGTTATTACCCATGATCATTGTCTCTCTAATAGAACAAGACCATGATCAAAGCTGCAGAGATTGGAGACACATCGTGGGAGCTGTCTGTGCAGGTGGACCAAAAACAGGGAGACGAGTCCATGAAATTTAGGCTTAGGGTCAAAGGAGACTTGCACGTCGGAGGCCTCATGCTTAAGTTGGTGGAGAAAATCAGTAAGTTTTTCTGAAGTTTCTTAACTTGCTGCTCACACTTTGGATTTTAAGTGCATGTCTGTGTGTCTGGCCACACCCTTGTTTGCTCAGCATTTTTCTCCACCGCAGGGCCATTGTTTGGGAACAATGCATCAGCTTTTATTGCCTTCAGGAGCTAAATAACTCCAGGGTCTGATCTGACACCTCTTTAAAGTTTGCCATTAACATGAAGGAGCTGATTACAGCAAGTTTAGAGTAAGGTGGTTAAAAAAAAGTTACGAGGCGTACAGGAGTGCAGAATTATTAGACAAGTTGTATTTTTGAGGAATAATTTTATTATTGAACAACAACCGTGTTCTCAATGAACCCAAACAACTCATTAATATCAAAGCTGAATGTTTTTGGAAGTAGTTTTTAGTTTGTTTTTTGTTTGAGCTATTTTAGGGGGATATCTGTGTGTGCAGGTGACTATTACTGTGCATAATTATTAGGCAACTCAACAAAAACAAATATATACCCATTTCAATTATTTATTTTTACCAGTGAAACCAATATAACATCTCCACATTCCCAAATATACATGTCTGACATTCAAAAACAATACAAAAACAAATCAGCGACCAATATAGCCACCTTTCTTTGCAAGGACACTCAAAAGCCTGCCATCCATGGATTCTGTCAGTGTTTTGATCTGTTCACCATCAACATTGCGTGCAGCAGCAACCACAGCCTCCCAGACACTGTTCAGAGAGGTGTACCGTTTTCCCTCCTTGTAAATCTCACATTTGATGATGGACCACAGGTTCTCAATGGGGTTCAGATCAGGTGAACAAGGAGGCCATGTCATTAGTTTTTCTTCTTTATACCCTTTCTTGCCAGCCACGCTGTGGAGTACTTGGACGCGTGTGATGGAGCATTGTCCTGCATGAAAATCATGTTTTTCTTGAAGGATGCAGACTTCTTCCTGTACCACTGCTTGAAGAAGGTGTCTTCCAGAAACTGGCAGTAGGACTGGGAGTTGAGCTTGACTCCATCCTCAACCCGAAAAAGCCCCACAAGCTCATCTTTGATGATACCAGCCCAAACCAGTACTCCACCTCCACCTTGCTGGCGTCTGAGTCGGACTGGAGCTCTCTGCCCTTTACCAATCCAGCCACGGGCCCATCCATCTGGCCCATCAAGACTCACTCTCATTTCATCAGTCCATAAAACCTTAGAAACATCAGTCTGGAGATATTTCTTGGCCCAGTCTTGACGTTTCAGCTTGTGTGTCTTGTTCAGTGGTGGTCGTCTTTCAGCCTTTCTTTCCTTGGCCATGTCTCTGAGTATTGCACACCTTGTGCTTTTGGGCACTCCAGTGATGTTGCAGCTCTGAAATATGGCCAAACTGGTGACAAGTGGCATCCTGGCAGCTGCACGCTTGACTTTTCTCACTTCATGGGCAGTTATTTTGCGCCTTGGATTTTCCACACGCTTCTTGCGACCCTGTTGACTATTTTGAATGAAATGCTTGATTGTTCGATGATCACGCTTCAGAAGCTTTGCAATTTTAAGACTGCTGCATCCCTCTGCAAGATATCTCACTATTTTGACTTTTCTGAGCCTGTCAAATCCTTCTTTTGACCCATTTTGCCAAAGGAAAGGAAGTTGCCTGATAATTATGCACACCTGATATAGGGCGTTGATGTCATTAGACCACACCCCTTCTCATTACAGAGATGCACATCACCTAATATGCTTAATTGGTAGTGGGCTTTCGAGCCTATACAGCTTGGAGTAAGACAACATGCATGAGGAGGATGATGTGGACAAAATACTCATTTGCCTAATAATTCTGCACTCCCTATAATAAATGATGACTAAGCAGCTTGTCATCAGCAGATGGATTTCAGCCCAGTCTTACACGATGATATCAGGTGGACTCACTAAACCACACTCCTACACACCAAAGGGTATTTATGTTACTGTAGTTTAGTAGCTTTAAAGCATGAGACAAAAAAATCGTGAAGGTTCCATATCAGGCTATTTTTAAACTCTGAGAGCAAAGGTAGGCACCGTATATGATAAAATATTACGGTTGGCACTACTGAGATGTCGTCAAATATGATTATTATTATTTTTTTTGTCAGCCTGAATTTGTAATAAAACGGACGGTTTCAGACCCACAACCCACAAAGCATCATGGGCCATGAGGAAGCAATAAATTAAAAGAAAGCGTCTTTGGAAACAGCACCGGTGCTCCGACCATGCCCTAGGCAGTTCATTCATACTGGGTTTGGTGGTCTAGTGGTTAAAGGATCTGCTTTTCATCTTCTTTTGCCGTGTCCTGATGTTTGATTCCTCGTGTTGGCACAAATTTATTTAGCCAGCTGAAGCAGATTACAGTTTTAAAATATTTTTGTTGAATTGGTTATTTTATGCAAAGTATTTTTTGTCTCTAAAGATCTTTGAATTTGGTCATTTTCCAAGCAGCATTTTAGTTGCAATGCTCTGGGTGGGACACAAAAGTCCCAATACTCTGCTCACCTCACATCAATCAATCAATCAATCAATCAATCAATCAGATTTATTTATAAAGCGCTATTCAAACAAAGTGCTACTCAAAGTGCTTTACAAAATGACCCCAGATTCCCATAACAGGTTAAAAACATTAACAGACATATTCCGGAACTGCGTTGCTCATGTTGGAGTAGCTCTGTTGACTATATGTAAGTTTTGCCTTCTCTTGGACATTTTTTCTTCTAGTTTCTCAAGAAAAACTGTATTTTCTTAGACACTTTACTTTTCTGTTTCTGGTGCTGTGAAGCAAGGAGGATTTTTACTGCTATTTTTCAGCTTTTTTCACTTTTTGAGCATTTGTTATGATGTGTAACCATGGCAACAAGCTGGTTTACAATTGGGAGCAGTTGATTAACATTGGAAAGGCTGAAATAATACCTCAACTGAAGCCACAAATCCCAAATGAGCTAAAACGCAAGAAGCGTGGGTGCAGAGCGGGAGCAAAACGGAGACAGAGAAAGAGGAAATTCAAACCATCTCTTCCATCGATCATAATGGGCAATGTGAGATCACTGGCCAACAAGATGGAGGAACTCTAGGTCCTTTCAAGGACTCAGCCAGAGTTTTGGCAGTTTCGGATCCACTGGAGGAGATAATGCAAAGAAGGATTCTCCAGAGAATCAACAAACCTATGGACACCTGTGAGCATTCTCTTCACAAGACTGTCCGACAACAGAAGAGTGTCTTCAGTCAGAGACTTCTTCAGTTTGGCTGCAACACTGACCGCTACTGGAGATCCTTTCTGCCAACAGCCATTGCAATATACAACAACTCTTTGATGACTTGATTATTATTATTATTCTGGGCTACTACAGCAATCAATTTCCCTCTGGGATTAATAAAGTATTTTTGAATTGAATTGAGTACCAGCTGTGTGACAGGTAGAAATGTTTTTCTCAACGTTTCCCTACAGAGGCTCAACAGGACTGGTCTGACCATGCGCTGTGGTGGGAACAGAGGAAGTGCTGGCTGCTCAAAACTCACTGGACCTTAGACAAGTATGGAGTTCAGGTAAAATGAGTGTTTAAAGCCGAAACCAAATCCCAGTTTCTCTGCAAATGTATCCTGTAAAAGGCATCCTGATTCCAATGGGAACATGCGGAATCCTACTGTATACATTCATTGTGGAGCAGGTTACTTCTAGCTGCTCTTGGAAGCTGCTTCATAAAATCATTCTCTTGTGCTAACAGATGGTTTTCTTACCCTGTTCTGTGCAGGAAGATTGTTCTTCATGTTATGAAAATGAGAAATCAATGCTGTTTTTCAGAGTTGCAGTTTGAGTGCAGTCATGAAACTAAGTTAAAGAAATTGATTTCAGCTCCAAATGATCGCAGAAAAAAATGATTGACCTGTTAAAATTATTGGTCGACAGACATAAAAATGGCAGAACAAGAGTGTAATGATTTAACTTACATGTTATTTAATAAGCCATAAGGCGTATGATTCCATAGGAAATATGAAATCAACCTTATGAATCTGTTGGGTTATTTAAACCAGAAGATTGGAACTTTTTATTGCAGGGATTAGATAACAGCTTTGTATTCACTCAGAGACAACAGAAGAGAGAGAGTCAAGTTTAAAAGTTTAAAGATTTATTACTAAACAAATTAAACTAGACTAACTTTAAACACTAAATGTATGGTGTAAGTAAGGTGAATGAGATGGAGAATGGTGTAATGTGGAATGTTGCTCAGAACCAGCAAATCTGAAGAAGCGATTAGTTCTGGTGGGAAATAAAGGTGATGTCTTCGCGCTAAGCTTTGATTAGGAGATTCATAAACAGATTCAACGTCATTTCGTTGGCCAACATACCCTTAGCGGAAGTCCCCGTTAGATCAGGAATGTCGAGGTCCAGCTGGACCTTCTCTGGAACCGAAGCCGGTAGGAAAAGCAGTGGTTGCAGACCAGACCAGTCTTTTCAGATTCTTCTGGGTCACAACGGTTTTGTTGGCATCTAGTGAGACCCAAACCTGGTCGTGATGATTCAGCTTTTATTGTGAAAGGAACCGTTGCAGCAGTTGGAACAGCAACAGATTTTATCCAGCTTGTCGTTGGTTCTTTCGGCTGAAGAGGAAAGTTACGGATTGGCCACTCCGACAACTTCTCTAGAACGCTTTGAACTGGCGTTAGAGATGACGTGGGCATAGATTTATACTTGGAATGTTTTGGTTTATGGTCGAATGAAAAGTTGACAGATTTACCAAACACCACCAAAACCACGCCTCCGTCAGATCTGGAAGATTCTGATTGGATCAGTAAAGCAATGTGTCGTCTCCTAACGCTACGTGAGATCAGTCCTAGTGGAAACATTTAATGTCATATTACTTCTTATATTCTATAGGATTATAATAAAGTAATTAATATTTTGATTTCACAGATTGGTCACATCTTATTATTGACTAACACTTTGTTTAATTAGCTTTATTAAAATTGAGTTATTTGATTTATTAAAAGGAGAGAGTCCATTCTTCATTCTTCTCTTGAGCTGGAAAGAAGCCGTTTATAAGCAAATGCATGAGACCTTGAGGCCATGTCTCATGCAGACTAGTTCTGTGTCAGAGGAGAGGGGGAAAATGACTTTTGGTGGAAAACAGTCATTTCTTACCGTTACAAGATGTAATGAAGTAGAATTACATTTATTTAATGAGCCATAAGGCATGGGATTCCATAGGAAATATGAAATCTACCTTACGGATCGCAGGGTTATTTAAACCAGAAGATTCTATTTTTTTATTGCAGGGATTAGATAACTGCTTCATATTCACGCAGAGACAACAGAAGAGAGAGAGTCAAGTTTAAAAGTTAAGAATTTTATTACTCACAAATTAAACTAGACTGACTTTAAACTAAATGCATGGTGTACCTATGGTGGATGAGACGGTGGATGGATGACGTGTGATGTTAAATCAGAACCAACAAATCCGAAGAAGCGATTGTTCTGACGGGAACTGAAGGTGTTGTTTTCGCATTAAGCTTTGGTTCAGAAGTTCAGAAGCACATGAGACACCATCATGCTGGTCTACCTACCCTTCGTGGATGTCCTCTGTAGATCAGGAATATCGAGGTCCAGTGGACCCTCTCTGGAACCGAGCCGGTAGGAAAAGCCGCGGTTCCGATCAAACCCGTCTTGAGTTACTTCCGGGCACACGACATGTTTATTGGCATCTGGTGAGACCCAAGCCTGGGTCCGGAAGGTGGAGCTTTTGTTCTGAAAGGAGCTGTTACTGCTGGTTGGTGTAGCGACTGGATTTTTCAGCTTGTCATTGTTCTTTCGGTTGAAGAGTAGATCAGGATTGGCCACTCCGCCACTTTCTTTGGAACGCTTTGAACTGGCGTTAGAGCTGATGTGGCATAGTTTTATACTTCGGATGTTATGGTTTATTGTCGAATGAAAAATTACCAAACACCATCAAAACCACGCCTCCGTTAGATCTGTCAGATTCTGATTGGATCAGTGAAAGGAATGTGTTATGTCTTTTTAACGCTACGTGAAATTAGTCCTGTTGGAACACTTAAAGTCATATTACTTATTATATTCTATAGGATCATAATAAAGTAATTAATATTTTGATTTCACAGATCGGTCACATCTTATTCATTGACTAACACTTTGATGGATTAGCTTTATCAAAATAGAGTTCTTTGATTAATTAAAAGAAAAGAGTCCATTCTTCATTCTTCTGTTGAGCTGAAAACAAGCAGGTTAGAAGGAATGCATGAGACCTTGAGACTGAAGAAATACACTCCTCGATGTCAAATGGTTTTATTGACAAGGATGAAGGAGCCCTGCAGCGACATACAAAGCTGAGTGAGCAGAAGCTAACGGCAGCGTGAATCAGCAGCATGGGCTGAAGACCAAAGCTAAGCAATGCGACAAAATGGGTAAATGAATGCAGAGCGGCTTAGCATATATACTGACAATGTAACCATTACATTAGCTTAACAAGCAGGTGAAGACTTACAGATACAAGTCGAACAGTAGCATGGATAGACAGCAGTGGCATGGATAGACAGCAGTGTGATGGTTGAGCAGCAGTAATCCCAATGAGAAGCAGCATATGTACAGTGAGGGATCGTCACATGTACGTGACTTCCGCCACGTCCGTGAATACACCTTCTTCCCTCGAGGCTTGATAGCAACACACCCTCGAGGCTTGACCGCAGCACACCCTAGTGGCCAGTGGTGACCTCTGCAGAGACCATATCTCATGCAGACTAGTCCTGAGCAAAGAAGGGAAAAAACACAGTCTTCCGTTCCGTTACAAAGAGCTGAAAAAGTAGTGGTGTGTCATACATATGCCTTTGTTATATTAAATGATGGCACCTACTGTATACATGTAATGATTCCCCAATTGAATTTGTCTGCTTTTATTGCTGTGTCTGAATGTTACAAAACATATATTTTTGTTCTGATCTGAAATAGGCCTGGTGATATGCATTTTTATGTTAATAATGAAACCCTGGTGAGTTTTAAACACCACTAACCAGCACTAATCTGCCACCAGCTGACACTAATTGGGACCTATCTCCTTAAAACTCTTAAATATTGTGTTAAACAAGCAGGAAATCTTTTACTGACCACCAAACACGTTCTAATTAGATTAAATATTAACGGCTGCTTTTGCATTTTCAAAATCTTAAAGATGTGTAAAGCATTCCAGTGTGGACGTGTGAAATGTGTGTACTTAAAACACAATTCAGTGGAAATGCTGAAGAGATTATTGATTTTGTCTGCATCTTTTTAAAAATGGGACCCATGTAGGCTGATGCTGACCTGCGCTACACCCCCCAGCACAAACCTCTGCTGCTGCAACTTCCCAACATGAAAACTATCAGGATCACAGTCAGCTTCTCCAGCATGGTCTTCAAGGCAGTGGAAGAAATCTGCAGAGCTCTCCGTGCGTGTGTCTCAGTTATGATTTTTATGCCTCATAGAGAGAAAATAGGACAGTCATTTTGCATTTTTCATGTGTGAATCCTTCCTACTTCTCCACTTTGCTCCATCGCAGAAATCAGGAGATCAGAGGAGCTGTCTTTGCTGAAGCCTCCTGATGATCCATCCAAAAAGAAGAAGAAGAAAGAGAAAAATTCTCCTCAGGATGACATCTGGGATATATGGGACTCACTTAACGGGGGTCTGGGAGGAACAGGTAGTGCAAGTTTTATTAACCAAGCTAAAAGCAAACGTTATGAAGAGCATGTATGTGTCACGAGGTGGTTTTGGAGAAAAGCTAGGACCCAAGATGCAGAACCAGATAAACGAGGCAGGAGGTGGAAGAAACGTAAAAATCCTTTATTGAGGAGTACATCCAGAGAATGCAGGGCGCCAAAAAACAAAATCCAAAAATCACATTAACTAAACCTAGAGATTCCAAAAAAAAAAAAAAAAAAACACACACACACACACACACACACAAGAGACCTAGAGATTCTAAAACAGGGGTGTCAAACTCATTTTAGCTCAGGGGCCACATTGAGGAAAATCTAGTCCCAAGTGGGCCGGACCGGTAAATTAAAAACAACTTCAGATTGTTTTCTTTGTTTTAATACAATCAATATAAAACAAAGCTGTAGCCTGAGGACAATGTATCCAAAATAGTACAACACCTGAAGTGTACTTGAAAATTTGAAAATAAATAAATAAATAAATAAATAAAACATTCCTTAGTGATTCAGAGCTTACAGATCACATGGCTAGATCAGTTTCATGCAGCACTTAAAGTATATTTGACTCATTTTACTTAACATCTTTTAGCTTTCACCAGCACATCAACATCAGAAGTCACATCCTGAGTGGCGGCCAACTTCAGGATGTGATTCAAGTTCTTGTGTGAGCCTTGAGCGCAGCTTTGTTTTATTTATACTCATTACAGAGGAAACTTGCTCACAAAGATACGTTTATTTTCACTCTACATTGTAAAGTATGAAAATAAAGTTTACACAACCATCTCGCGGGCCGGATTTAACCTGCTTGCGGGCCAGATCCGGCCCGCGGGCTGTATATTTGACACCCCTGTTCTAAAAGCTAGAGAGGGGTACGAGATGAGGCTGACACAAACAATGAACCAACAACACACTGAGACGCAGACAGGGTTAAATACACTGGGGCAGGATGAGAGGGAGATGAGCTGTAGGTGTGTGGGGAGAGAAATCTAGTGAAATCAATTAACTAATCAGTGAGGGGAGAGTAACTTGACCTCAGGACGCAGATGTCTGGAGCGCGTCAACAATCAGAGCTTTGCATGCGTAAGCTGGCTAAGGTTAGGATGGGGGTGAGGGGAATGTTAAATTGCAAGAGGGTAAAGGTTAAATGTCCGTTTTACGGTGGGTGTCAGTACCGACGCTCTGGCACAGCGCGTCGCCTCCCGACTCGCAGGAGCTTGTCACCTGCTGACAGCAGGCTGCTGTCTTTTCCGTGGACTGCATCTTGCCGGTCATTATCACGTGACAGCGACTAGTCGATGACAGGCATAAAAAGTCACTATAGAGCGGTGAAGTCCACTAGTCGACTAGTTCATACAACCCCTACTGCTCCCCAGAGTGTTCTGCAGCATAATCAGCACGTTCTCTTTGAACTTGATATAAAATTTTCACCTTCTCTTAGTCTCCACATGGTTAAAGTTACCCTCGCAGTCTATCACTGCCAAATCAAAAGTGAGACGGATGACACAACTGCCCCCCGTACTTGCTTGTTACCACATTCCACCCGGCCACAATAAAAAAAAAACGGCCATTATTCACCCCCGCCGAATCCGACACCGGCCAAAATATGATACCCGGTCTCGGTACAGGATCTGCTCGTGTGCAAGATCGGCTCGGGGTCCGTCGACTGCCGATGACGTCTAAGTAGTTGATTGGCTGAACATGAACCTTACAGAATTACGTAATCACGTTACGTTGGTCCAGGCAAATCTTTCTGTCGGAAAGATGGACAACTTTTACAAAGAAATCCATCATTACCTCTTTGAAAGTACACTTTTAACATAGAGCTGCATGTATATTAGGGCTGAACAATTAACTGCATGTGCAATTAAATTGCGATGTGACAAAAGCAGATTTTCTAATCGCAAAGGCTGCAATTTGGCAGCGAGTGGTTAGCGCAACGCTAATATACATGGGGAATCCCATAGGAATGCTAATGCTAATATCACCGGTTACATTATTACAAATTATGAATTAGAAACGTGCCAAATGATTACATTTGGAGTCTAATAGAAAGTAAAACTACCATCAATCAAATAAGTACAGACAAGTATTTTAGTAAAGCCAGAACACTTTTAACTCCAGAGTTTTGGCTAGCAGCTATGAGCGTACCTGAACTACGCATAGACAAGACGTCATAAACTCTAAACACAAAATACTTCAATAAACGGGACACACTTCTTTCCTGCAAATACAATTTCACAGGTGTTGTTAATACCTATGATTCTTCAAGGGATGTGCTCAAAGAGGAGTTCAACATTATGAATACAAAATAGTGTTTTATTTTACAAATACCATTATAAACACAAAGTTACGTCTTGAGAAACATTATTTTAATGACGAAACTGCTAAATTTTTTCCAAAAGTATAGATGTGTAGTGTATTTTGTCCGAGTGGGTTTGCCGTACTTTGACGTCATCGGCAGTCAAAGGACCCCGAGCCGATCTTGCACCCGAGCAGATCCTGTACCGACACCGGCAGTTAATTAAATACAGGCTAATATTAGAGGATTTACGGTATATGACTTTTTTTTTATTATGCAAGAACTCGTCTAGTTCTCATATGAATTTTTTTCTTCATTCTTTTAGGTCAAATTGAATCTGTTCAGGGTTTTTTCCTAAACATGTTGGGAAAAGTTGGGTAAAACAACACAAAAAAATTAAAAAATTAACTGACTGAAGCAAAAACTGATCACATTAAAGTTTGACACGATTCAAATCTTGTGGCCTGGTCTACGTACTGACTCAATAACTCTTTTTTATAATGAGTATTTTCCACAGTTTGCATTTTAATATTTTTTGTGATTATGTCTAAACTGAACACCGAAAGTTCTTTTTGTTGAATGAGCAAAAGCAATAAAACATTTCTGACTTCTAACAACTTTGAATCTTACATTTTGCAAAGCCATCTTTTAATTATAGTTTTCTTTGCTTCCAAAACAAGGCCCTATGTACAGTAAGACCATGACAGCGACCTATGACCCAGAGAATGGGATGCCGATGTCTTCCACCAGCCTTTGGTTTGGAGAAAACCCCCTAGCTGAGTGTCAACCGAACGTGCCGTCCGCTGAGCTTGCTAAGCTGTACGAGCCGCTGTCGCTTGTGGACAAAGCAACCAACAACGCAGGGTAAAGTCAGAAACCCTTCAGTGGATTTGCAAGGTGTTTTCATCCACAGCTCATCTGGTTGGTCTTTCTGATCACCTGACAGGTGGCTGGACTCGTCGCGCTCTCTGATGGAGCAGGAAATTCAGGATGATGAAAAGTTGTTACTTCGCTTCAAGTACAACGTCTTCTTTGACCTTAACCCTAAAGTAAGCGTTCACTTTTCAGTCTCCTTGCATCCGTGGCAGAGTGATATAATTTTTACGTGAGGACAAAAGAGGGGTTAAAGATTCAAGGCAAGGTTGGAAATGCTGGACCTTCTCAGCAAAGTCTTTGAAAATCCCCTTTTTGTAACAGGAGTCAATGAAATGTTCACGTTTGTCAATTTTTCTTCTAGGAAAACTACGACAGTTTTCTAGTATAAACAAGAAAAATGTTCAACAATATAAATAAATACAGAAACAAAAGACTGATCCTGTAGGAGAGCTTATGGCCCTTTTACTCTTGGGTCAGCCCGGTACAGCACAGCCTGCCCCCAGCTGTGCCTGGTAGGGTTTAAGGTTGGTTTATGCTTGACGCGTCCGCAAGGTCCGCACGGCTCCGCGCGGAAAAGTTGCGTCATTTTGCGTCATTTTAACAACCACGCCCCTCCACCGCGCCTCCACACGGCCCAAAATTTCCGCAACGCGCACTTAGGAAATTTTCTAACCACGGGGATGGTCGGATGCAGAAAAACATGGCGGACCGGCAAGAACTAGTATGGCAGAGGTTCGTAAATACAGACATTTGTGTGATTCAGCTCTCAGAGATCACCGTGATCAACATGTTGTTAATAATTATTGGAGAGAAATAGCTCGCACTGTCGGAAAAGACGAGGACGCTGTTAAAAATGCTGAAATGCCATGTTGTAAACAGTAATTTCTACTTCTACTATGGTGTAGTGTTGGATGCATGCTGTAGAGCTCCATGTTGCCCCGTTCAGTTTGGGAGAATATTGGCTCACCGCAGAGACAAGCCGCACGAACCATAAACGCTGCAAGTTGTGAAGCGCGTTCCATCCGCGAGCCGCATCACCAAGTGGAAAGTAAATGTGTCGAGCATAAACCAAGCTTTACTGTGTCTTCCAGGAAGTGGGTGGGCTCTGCTTAGCAACATGGCATGGAGACGTCTGTGGTGTCATTAGTAATTGCCAAAAGTTAGTAAACAAAAGCAGGTGTGAGCATGGCAAGTTTAGACAAGTGGAATGACACGATTAAAATTAAAGAAGACGTTGAGGTGATTATATACTTGGTGCTCGCACTTGGAGGAAGGCTCCTTTGAAGAAAGAAACGCAAGAAGGAGGCACCCAGCAAGGATTAGGGCACTATTCTGAGCAGCAGTAGCTCAGGAGGTAGAGCGGGTTGTCCAGTAATCGGAAGGTTGCAGGTTCAATCCCAGACCAGAGAGTGCTGCTGTTATGTCCTTGGGCAAGACACTTAACCTACCTTTCCTGCTGGTGGTGGTCAGAGGGACCGGTGGCAACAGTGCTGGGCAGGCCTTACCTCTGTCAGTGTGCCCCAGGGCAGCTGTGGCTACATCGTAGCTCATCCCCACTTGCCTGTGAATGTGTGTGTGAATGGGCGATTGTGTTGTGAAGCGCCTTGTACCATAAGAAGATGCTATACAAATACAGACCATTTACATTTTGTATTTTGTATTTGTATTTATTTTTCCGTCATAACAATACACATAAAACACATGAAAAGGAAAACAATTATCTGATAAAGATCATAATAATAATTGTCAGAAGTACAACTTCCTCTTATAAATTAAACAGTTTCTTTAGATATAATTTATGAACGAAAAGGAATAGGCTGAAGTTAAACTTATTTAAGCCTACCCATTAATTCATTACAAAAATCAACAGTGTCACAAAATCAAAAGTAAATAAACATGTAAACAATACAGTTATTACATGTAGCATCCTAATTTCAACAAAATCAATCAAGAGGTATAAACATGTGACAAAACTAATTCATCACTTCACACACACACCGCCAGGCCAATCAGAGGCTACCACTACAAGTAAGCGTGAGCTGATCACTTCAGCCGGGCCCGCCTCAGCTAACCTTAGTGTAAAAGCACCATTAAGGTATATTCTAAAGGCATAAAGGTAGGGGGGGCAACATTCTTCACAGCAGGGAGGCAGCTTTCCCACCTTTCAGTCCGCCTCTGGATCAGTCTCAGGTTGCAATGGTTGGTCTAAAGTTTTCGTGTGTGTGTGTGTGCGTGCGTGCGTGTGCGCGTGCGTGTGCGTGTGTATGTGTGTTTATTTCAGTATGATGGTGTCAGGATTACCCAGCTTTACGAACAGGCTCGGTGGGCCATCCTGCTGGAGGAGATCGACTGCACCGATGAGGAAATGCTGATGTTTGCTTCGTTGCAGGTTTATCCCAATTTTAAAAGCAAATTAATGGTTTACTGTGTCTGAATTATTGGTGAGGGTTTTACACATCACTTCCTCTAATGCATCATTTAATGCCCTTTTTGTAATTTATTAATTTAATTTATTATATAGCAGGTTTGTCTTCTGAGCCTCTGTGGTAAACATGTTGTCTCAGTCCAAAGAGCACAACTTAACCACTGCAGGCACGTTTTATATCAAGATGCTATTTAACATTTTGAATAAATAACATAGGATATTAAAGGTTTTGTAGACAAAAACAGAATCATGTAAATTCTCTGAATTGAACAGAAACAACCCAGTAGTGAGAAAGATGTTTGAATTTAAAGTTAAACATCATTGCAATTTTTGTGGTTCCCTGATGGATTGATGTCCAGTTAGGGACCAGGAGCCTCATTTATCAAACTTGCTTACGCACAAAACGGGGTCGGAAAACTGCGTAAGCAACTTTCCACGCCAACTTTGGGATTTATGAAAGAATACTTAGCGGAAAAATGTGCACAACTTTAAGTTGACTAAGGACCTGGCTTACATACATGTTGGACATGGAGAGCACCTGCAGTGCTGCTGCTGAGAAGGATACAATTATGAATTCCTGCAGCATTATCACTTGTACTGCTTCGTTTTCACACAGAACATAAGACCCCACACATGCGCACACACACACGCGTGTACACACACACACACACACACACACACAGCGTGAAGCGCAGAATACGGAATGCAGAATATCAGCAGGGGGATAGATTGAGACAGAATGTCATGTGTCTGTGACAGTGTGTCCTGTCACTGTGACCCAATAGATTATGCGCCCTGGCTTTTTGCACAGGGAAGTTCTCCGTTTGGCTGACTGGTTAGCGTGCGTGACTTTCACGTGGCAGTCTGGAGATCGAATCCCGATTGGACCATTTTTTTATATCCGCCACAGATCTCTCTGAAGAACTCAGCATTGATGGCTTCAGCAACGCTGTGCCACTCCGTGGATTTTCTCTTATTTGTTTTTCAAAAGCACTTCCTTTAATTTCTCCACCTCACCCACAAGTACCTCAATTTCTGCTTCTGTGAAATTGCGCTTCCTTGATCTGCCTTGATCTACGGTCGCCATCGTCATTGGCAGAGCGCTGCAACAGCTGGCTTATGTATATGCATGAGGTCCACAAGGCACTTTGCATTGACTATTTATGGCAGTAAGTGGGCGTGGTGAGGGCGGGATGTGACTAAAATGCAGCTGAGAAACATTCTCGTTAGTCTCCAATTCATGAAGCGGAGATTGCGTGCAGCTGTGCGTACTCCATGTTTGATAGATCACAAACCTACTTGGTGTAAGTACTTTTTTTTCCTGAGCTTACGTACGGTTTTAGTAAGGATTCTACGCAATGTTTGATAAATGAGACCCCAGGTCCCTGTGACCCTACTGAGTTGTTATAATTGCTTCAACTACAAAAAGAACATTTTCAGTAATTTTTTCCTGGCTTGAACAATAAAGGTGCAATTATTGAAACATTCAAACAACAAAGTCTTAAATTTGGAAAAAATAAAAAAAAATTATATATATATATATATAATTTCTATTTATGTATTTGATAATGATAATTTGATAATTTTAAACTGACAATAGAAAAACATTATGTATTAATTTAACTTTAAATAAGAAGCCTTTTGGCATTTTTTTATTTTTGGTTTTTCTATTTTATTTAAGTAAATACAGTTAAATAATATAGTGATTCAAATGGAGGGTTGCATTCAACTGCTAAATAATTCTTTCTTTCTTTTTTCTTTCTTTCTTTTTTCTTTTTCTTTCTTTTTTCTTTTTCTTTCTTTTCTTTTTTCTTTCTTGTTTTCTTCTTTCTTTTTTCTTATTTTCTTTTTTCTTTCTTTCTTTCTTTCTTTCTTTTTTCTTTCTTTTTTTCTTTCTTTTTTCTTTTTCTTTCTTTCTTTTTTCTTTCTTTCTTGTTGTCTTGTTTTCTTCTTTCTTCTTTCTTTTTTCTTTCTTTCTTTTTTTTCTTTCTTTCTTTTTTCTTTCTTTCTTCAGTACCACATTTGCAAATTGACCATGTCGAAGGAGACGCCGAACCACTCCAATGAACCAGAAATGGATGAAATAGAAGCTGCCCTGTCCAACCTGGAGGTGACACTTGAAGGTGGACACACAGACAAACTTCTGGTAAATGAAGACTCAAGGGACAACAGAACGCAGGAGGGAGCGCAAACAGAAAATTCAGATTTATAAGTCAACACTGCCATGATAACATAGCTGATGTTTTGTTTTTGTCCTGGCCCCAGGAGGACATCACTGACATTCCAGAGCTGGCTGCTTATCTCCGGCTGTTTAAGTAAACCTCAAGCCACTGACGTCACCACTGCAAAGTTCTTCTGTGTTTTCAGAGATTCTAATCTGCTGGCAAATTTGCCTAATTGTGTGTGCGTGTGTGTGCTTGTGCGTGCATGTGTGTGTGCTAAATCAGACCCAAAAGACTGACCTTGCGATCATACAAAGAGTACTGGTTTGTATTCAAGGACACCACCATCTCCTACTACAAAAACAAGGACACCTCCAGCGGAGAACCGATCGAGCAGTTTCATTTGAGAGGTCAGTGACACCGAATCATTTACTAAACAGTTTTTATCACTGGTCGTCGGTGGAAGGAGGGATTTTAATGACATTCGCAAAAATAAATGCTTAACTGTTCATCTACAGCTGATTCACTTTTCAAATCAGCTTCATTCAAGATGGCTGCCATAATGGCTACAAGTCACTTGTTCAATAACTGAGCTATAATTTTATGTGGTGGCAACAGAGAGTCATTCATGGTAAAAAGAAAACCGACGGGTAAACGTACGAGTCAGAAAGCTGCACAGAGCCACGTCACGTTCTAATTATCATTAATGGACTCCTCCATCTTGGTTCACGACAGGGAAGGCTGTTGTTGGTTTAGCGTCCTGGAAACAACAGAGAACATCTCAACTAGTAGAAGCTAACCGTTAGCATTAGCACCTCCACCATATGGCAGAACTCCTCCAGGCTTGTGTTATTTGTGGAGATAAAACATCTAACAAACAGAGTCCACGGTAAAGTCATGTTGCGGTTATCCAATCACAGGTGAGATGTCAGAATATCAGGAAATAATAACAAGTAAGATTCCAAATCCTGATTTTTTTTACTGCTTCCTACCCCTCTGACTAATTTCTACTTCCTGAAACAGGAGCACCAGAGCATTTTTCCCACAGATGTCGACTCACGAGTTGTTTATTCATATTAGGGACCACTGCAAAGGTGTCGATTAAACAAGGCACCTTGTCCGTAAAGACTTGACCCAACAGGTTGAAGGGTATCATTCGTTGGTTTAGGGCTCAGGCACAAAAGGCAAAATAAGGGTGCATTAGATAGTCGTGTCATTAATCATTCCTTACACTGTAATTTATTGTTAATTTTCCCAAATAATAGAAAAAAATTGAGTAATTTACAATAAAACATAGATAAAACATCTGGATGAGGAGGTCACTTGGATAAAAAGTCCTCATTTTTCCATGTCCTGTCTGGCTCTGAAGCAAACAGAATTAATGTCTGAACGTTGGATAAAAAGTTCTAAAACAGGAACAACCTGAGTTTAAAACTACAAAGTCTTTCATTTTCGTTTTTATTTTATTTATTTATATATATATATTTTTTTGCTCTGTTCTAAATTACAATGTTTTCCAATGGAATCAACAGGCTGTGAGGTTGTTCCTGATGTCAACGTCACAGAAAAGAAGTTTGGCATCAAACTCCTGCTCCCAGTTGCCGACGGCATGAATGAAGTCTACATCCGCTGTGATAATGTAACACTTCCTTCCTCATCTAAGTGTTTAAAGAAGAGAATTATGAGGTAAATTTAACAGCGAATCCCCTTTTGTTCTGTGTTTCTACCCTCTGGTGCAGGAAACACAGTACGCCAAGTGGAAAGCTGCTTGTATCCTGGCCTCCAAAGGCAAAACGATGGCCTACAGCTCCTATAAGACAGAGGTGAGGAACATCCAGTCCTTCCTGCAAATGAAGAGCCTTGCGCCACCTCCTGGTCAGGCAGCTCCTGACCTGGATGCCATGGATATGAATCCCGAGTGTTTTGTTTCCCCACGTTACGCAAAAAAGCAGAAGACCAAGCAGGTTTGTTTGAGAAACTTCACCAGGAGCAAAACTTACTCTCCTTGCTGACTAACTCTGTATTTCATGGTTGCATCAAGCTGACAACGCGCATCCTGGAGGCCCATCACAACATAGCACAGCTGTCACTGATGGAGGCCAAGATGCGCTTTATCAAGGCCTGGCAGTCACTTCCAGAGTTTGGCATCAACTACTACATTGTCAGGTACAGAGCTTGTTTTTTTTTTGTTGTAATAAATGTATGTGGCAATACATTTGAACTTTATGTTTGGGGAATTTGCCTGCTTTTATGTGTCTTTTAGATTCAAAGGGAGCAAGAAGGATGAAATTCTGGGCATTTCCTATAACCGACTGATTCGTCTCGACATGTCCTCGGGCTTACCCGTCACCACATGGAGGTTTGCCAACATGAAGCAGTGGAACGTGAACTGGGAGATCAGACAGGTGAGGGAGCTTTTCTTAGTCAGGATGAGACGTCTTCGGTGTTTCCCTCAACTTCGTCTTTATATGTTTGTGTTTGACTTCAGGTGACAATAGAGTTCGACCAGGGTGTGTCTATAGCCTTCAGCTGTGTGAGCTGCGACTGCAAGGTGGTGCACGAGTTCATTGGTGGTTACATCTTCCTCTCCACACGCTCCAAAGACCAGAATGAAACCCTAGATGAAGAACTGTTTCAGAAGCTTATCGGAGGCCAAGAATGAACAACAAAAAATAAATCCTTTAATCTATTTCCTGTTTTCGTTTATGTTGTAATGTGAAAGACTGCTGTAGCAATGTTATCTCTGAATGTTTAACACGATAAATCACTGGAATTAACACATTTTACACACAGAGCAATGTTATTTTTGCTTTTCTTTTCTTCATTTTGACGTGTGTGAAAACAGTGATGCTGATGTAAATATATAGTTGTGATTGGTTTCTTAAAACTTAGAAGATTTGAAGTTAGTCAGAAGCTGCATTTTTTTTACATTCATTAGACAACTTTCTTTTAGGAAAATAGAAGAAACAAAACTAATCCTTACAGTGGTTTTAAATAACGTTACTTACACACATTGCATTCATATTCTAAATAATCTCATTCTCCAAACAGTGAAGTGTAGTAAAAATGCAATATTTGTAAAACAGGCCATCTGTAATCTGTTGCTCTTCTGCGATTATGTGTTGGATGCATGTAAAATACAGTCTAATCCAGGGTGAACTACTGCCACAAAGTTCACTTTTCAAAACTCAGAGGTCTCCTTCCTTTGTTAAAGCTATGATTGTTTAGTATATCAAATTATTTCTAGCATGAAGCATACAAATAGTCCCTCAAAAACAAATTCAGTTAATAGGCCATTTTTTGTTATTTTGATAATTTTATTTAATTTTATCCACTTTTTTACTGCACAGTAATATGCTTTTGGTATAAAACCCCAATTACAATTATTCCACACAAATTAGCAAACTATGTGTCTTATTTATTACAATTAGAAAACTGGCTCCATCGAATATTTGTGCAGATCAGGACATATTTAACCAGTGAATTTATCAGTCTTATATCTCAGCAAAAACCTTTTCTTTTACTTACAAGAAAAAAAATCATGTTTTTTTTTCATGATTAAAATCAAACACTTTTTTCTACAGATTTTCCTATTTCTTTCATTCCTGCAGTTTGTCTCCTACTCTGATAAGAAGGCAAAACAGTTCCATTAATGAAATAATTAGTGTTGACTTTAATTTTTATTTGAGTTTGTCACAAAACAATTGAAAACAAGTTTATTTGAAACATATGTTTACTATATACACTCACACAGATCACAGTGTTTTAAGTATCATAGGTTAGTCTTTTTAATGAGAAAGAAAACTCACACTTTTGTTTCGTTTGGGCTTTTTAAATTAGTTCTTATATTTTGTTATAAATCATTCACAAAAGAATAGTCACTGTAAAAAGCCGTAGATTTTATTTATTTAACTCTGTTCCCAATAATGCAGAACATTTTTTTTATTTCCCATCTGATGTATCTCACAGGTTTACAATAATTTCAGTACAATGAGGCAGATCATATCAAGCATCGGCTGCGTTCGAGATGAGCCAGTTCTGCGCAGATTAGATCACCGGTGATCGGCGAGCAGTGCATGCCGGTAACGCGATATCTTCAGCCATCGTCATCACCTCCGAGCTACAAATGTAGGGAAATCTGTCCGACTTAAACGCCGGTGTACTCCCCCTGCTGCTTCCGTCTGCTCTCTCAGTTTTCCAGGCGAGGCGCAGCTCAACTCGAACACGGCCGATATTGAGTCATTTGTGTATATTGACTGTATTGTTAACGAACCAATATCCTAAATAAAAAAATAAAATAAAATAAAAATTCGAACACGGCCATCGTGAAGTTCCTCGTTTATCGATTTTTCTGAAATCTACAGTAGACTCGCACTTTGCTCTTATTGGCTGGTTAATCGCTTTGACATTTTTCCAGCCAATCACAGGCGCGCTTACAGGATCATTGCTCTGAGATAAATCTGTTTTCGTTCAGTCACCCTGGAAGGCTAGGGAAAGAGTGCTAACACGTGTGTTAAACAACGTAAAGTATTTTCTAGTTCTCCAGAAGAAATTAGTGCCTTATCCTATCTTTGCCTCTATTTTTTATCTTTATTTTGCTGATATAAAGTTAACCGAACAGGATTGTTTTGAGCAGTTTATTATGGCTGAGAACGAAGACGATAATCAGTACAGAATCAAAGAGGGTGACAATGTTGTGTTAAAACGTGGAGACATTTATAAAGCTGTGCAAATTCAGCTAAAGAAGTAAGTAAAAACTTTAACCACGTAGATATAAATATGTGAATGTATTTTAATTTCAACTTGTTTGGTTATAGACGCTTATATAGTGTCTGTGCATAAATATGACGCTATTAAAAGGTCATTTACACACAGGAAGGTGATCTTTGAGAAGCAGTGGATATTTCTGGATAATGCAGTGGGACAGTTGTACAGCACCACGTTTGAGATTGTATCTGGAGGAAACCTGCAGCCAAAGGAGGACCGTAAGGAACAGGACACAGAAAGTCCTGCAGGTATAGCACCAATAATAACATTATAATAGGTATGATTCAAGATTTCTTCAGACAAAACTGTTAACATGTTGTTCTTTTTCAGGATTAACTGTGTACTCTGTGTTTGATTCTAGATGTAAAGGTGGCAGGTACGGACAACAGGAACATTGTTGATGATGGCAAATCACAGAAGCTGACCAGAGATGATATTGAGACGCTGAAAGAGCAAGGCCTGAAGGGTCAGGTACATTACTAACTTTAATCACAGATCCAGTCATGTGTCTGAAAGTGGCTGTGACTAAACGCCGCTTAGACAGACACACAAATCATGCAAAACCCAATTTATTATCGGTCAGCTCATTTGTAATTTAATTGTTTAGATTTAGACTTTTCTGCCTTTGCACATAGTTTAAAATGATTTAAAAGTTTCTTTTTTTATTTATTTTTTATATATATATAGAAGTGCAGCGCATATGTTTGCTGGAAGAGAATTTTAGAATTTTCTTTTTGTTAAATTCTGCATTTGTAGTTTGGTAGAGTTTCAGATAAACGGCTCGCATTAAACGTGGTTAAAGTGTTAAAAGGAAGCCATGTCCTAGTTTCCTTGTTGTGCCCACCATTCTGGTATTTTACTTAAAGGGGCATTATGGAAGTTTGACAGCCAAAACATGTATAGAAATAATAAATGTCTTCTTCATACATTCTCCTGCAATGCCCTGCTCCTGTAGCATGAGCCCTGGCATTTTTACTGTGATTGCCTGTTTTTCTGTAAAATCACAGAAAAAGAGAGATGCTCGGGTCGAGCAGGCTGCTTCATGCGCGTTCATGCTCAGGCATAGCCCGTAGCATTTGCTATCAGTAGCTTTAGCAGCAGAGAGAGAGGCAGTGCCACTTTGTCGCTGTTCCTAACGCCTAGTGACAAAGCTAGCTACATTTCTGAGGACCCTTAGCTACTTTCTGCAGAACTTTCTTCTAGATATTTCCTGCAAATTAGCAACAAAATAGCCATTTTCGCTTCGAACCGTTCTATGGTTTGACGTTGTTTCAGCTGTCATCAAGGATATAAAAGTTACAGATACTGTGTATGTTACTAGAGTGTAGCTCACCTTGTAAGATGTCTGACTCTCATGCAGAAGACCTGGGTTTGATTCTGGGTGTGAACATGGAAGAAGAAGAAAATATCATTTCTAGAGCGCCTCAAGATAAAAATCACGAGGTGCTTCACGAAAACAAAAAATATAAACAAGCATTTAGAAAAAGTTTTAAAATATATTTAAAATGAGCAAAAATGGACAATTGTGATTAAAAATGTAAAGAGAGAGAGAGAGAGAGAAAAATCAGTGGATCCTGGGGAGTGCAGATTTTGGGGGGGGGGGGGGGGGGGGTGATGAGGTTACGCAAAAGCCTGCATTAATAGGTTCGGCTGCTTTTTAAAGGAGAGCACTGAGTCCACTGATCCCAGGCTCAGGGGTTCTAGAGTCTGTGCGTAGTCCAATGTCTCTAGGGAGCTTGCTGAAGAGGTTATGAGGTTCTGGACTTTTGCACGTGTCGTGCACAGGCGACCCAGCGACGCGACCCCAGAAAGTTGAATATTTCCAACTTTTCATCGCTGTCGCTCGGACGAGGACCAATCAACAAGAGGTTTCATTCACCGACCAATGAGTGGACAGGATGCTCTGAACATCTCCAAGCAAACATGGAGGAGAAGTTGATTATTATTATGTTTTATAGTAAAATCAGAAGTAAGATTTCACATAACTCTAGCAGCACCATATCTGCCGCTTTTTTAGCTCTGAACCGCTTAAATAACCTTAATTCCCTCCAACCTGACACAGCCAAACAAAACAACGGAAGTTTCGATTTCGCCATGGAACAGAACGCGTAGACGGCTTTGCCGCGGATCTCCTCCCGTGTGTCAGGTAATAAAAGCGACAGCGACGAATTTCGCTGATCGCGGTCCTTTGTCGCCTCCCGTGTGTCGAGCCCCTAACGACAACAATAACAATAATAACAACAAACAATTTTCAGTCAGTCGTAGGTGGCAGTGAGGCAGCATTTTGAATCATGGAGAGGAGGGAACAAGGAGTGGACAGTTCTTGTTCTTCAAATTCTAGTTTAGACATCAAAGTGCACAGTGGAATGGTGATAATTTGGAAGATAGGCCAGTGTTTATCTGTTTGTTGGTTCTTGGTTGAAAAACTAAAACTCAGTCTTTATTGTGACATGAATGAAGCACGTAGAGGCTAAAAATGTGAAGTGGGATAATGTGTGCGCGTGTCTGGTCCGCAGGAAATCGTGCAACAGCTGATAGAGAACAGCTCCACCTTCACTACTAAGACTGGATATGCCCAGGATAAATACATCAAGAAGAAGAAGAAGAAGTGAGTCCCACCTCCAGATAAACTCTGTTGCAGCTTCAGGTGAATTGTTGTTATTGCTTTGTTGGAAGTGTTATTGCGGTATTCCAGGTATGAAAACACCGTGACTATTGTAAAGCCAACCTGTCGTGTCCTGGCCATGATGTACCATGGCCGCGAGCCAGGAAAGATCTGGTGAGCCAGCGCAGTGACCCACAGAACCAATGAAAATGGTCCAAAAGTACCAGTGAGATGATTTATTCCTGCGTGTGTTCCCATGCGATGCAGCCACCTGCGGTATGACACACTCGCACAGATGTTGACTCTGGCAAACGTCCACGCTGGCAGTAAAGTTCTGGTGTTTGAGACCTGTGCGGGACTTGTACTGGGAGCCATTATGGAACGAATGGGAGGCAGGTTTGATTTAAGAATGGCCGTTTTTATTTATTTATTTTTATTTTTATTATTATTATTTTTCTCAGTTTGAACAAAGCCTTCCTCTGCCCTTTATTTAATTGCTCTCCGTTCCCTCCTCATCCAGGCTACGGATCAGTGATTCAGATGTACCCAGGAGGGGGGCCTGTTCGAGCGGGTGTGGAGTGCTTTGGCTTTCCTGCTCATTTTCACAATACGCTGCATGAGTTTCCCATCTGCCACGTCAACGCTTTGCTGGCAGGCTCTCTGGACACCTCTGCCAAAGACCCCTCAGCTGGTACGGCATTTTGCTTTTCACCAAGTTGATATAAACTAGTGATGGACCGTCAAAGGAAGCTAACAGAGTTAGCTCTACCTGCTCTACCTTTAGATGCCATTCTAACAACCAGAATTTGCAACGCAACTGAGATCATGTCATTGTCTTAAAAAATGTTCACCCAAAGAAAATAATCCTCCGTTAAATGTCCAATCATTGGTTTCGGACCAAGCCGTGTTATTGACAGAGGTTTTTAGACAAATGTGAGAGGGCCACTTCTAGGGGTGGGCGGTATAAACGGTATACGGTAGAAATGATACTAATTTGGCCAATGGTAGAGATTTTGACTATATCGGCCTATCGCGGTAGCGCATGTTGATGACGTCATCTAGCGCATGTTGATGACGTCATCAAGCGGCGTCTGTTGAGGCTGAAAGTAGGGCTGCAACAACGAATCGATAAATTAGATGAAAATCGATTACTAAAAGCGTTGGCAACGAATTGCGTCATCGATTCGTTGTGTTGCGCAACTCTTCCAAAAGCCCCCTCCCCTCCTGCCCGCCGTTGCGCGCAGACCGGTGGAGAGCCGGCAGGTGTTTGTAAGAGGAACATGGCAGAAGCAGCGAGACCCCAACAAAGTAAAAACTTCTAAAGTTTGGGAGCATTTTCAGTTAAATCAGGTGAAGACATGCAACGTTTGTAGGTCAGACTTAGCATGGCACGGGGATACTACGGTGATGATGCAGCGTCTTAAACGCAAGCATGTCAGAATCATCAGCGAGGAAGGGGAGAGCTCGGTGTCCGGGTAAGTTAAAAACTTTTCAAAAGTGATTCACCCAAGCCCCGGATTATTACACAGGCTAGACATGCCCTAAGCTCGTAAAAAAAAGTCTATAAAACTGTAAGCGCGACGCTATTAGATAGGCGGGGGGGGGGAACTCGCGCCGCTGCGAACCGGTTCCGCCGTCACATTCCCGCAGAAACTGGTTGATCACACCGGGGCCAGACTACTAACATGTGGCTTTACAACCACAGTGTCCTCACAAGCGAAAACGCTTTTAAAAGGGAGGGAGGAGTCCTAACTGTTGCTGCAGGCGTGTTGTGTGCGTGTAGTTATATACTGGTTAACCCTTTGGTGCATGATGGTCACTACAGTGGACAGGTACTCAAAATTGTTATTTATTTGTTTTTGCTATTAAGCACAGCTGTTGAAGACTTATTGTATTTGAGCCCCTCCATTTGGACTTCAGTAAGCCAAGCCAACATATTTCATGTTCAGAATGCACGTGGTCCACTAAGGTGGACATGTAATAAATTATTTGTAAATTATAAAATTTTACAAAAAATATTTGTTGAAATTTGTTTCATTCACACCTAAAGATGAATGAAAAAAATTGTTAAAAAAAATCATGGCTGAAGATTTCATAATTCATGCATCAAAGGGTTAATATATTTTTGGGTTCAGTTGCTTTCATGTGTCCTAATGTGAGTCTATTTGGGATCATTGGAATGATCAGCAGCATCTCTTGATGTGACTTTATGGCAGTTGCCCAGGGCATCATCACAAGGAGAATGGCATTCATTTACTTTTGTTTTATTTGGTATTTTTCAGTCATTTTTGGAAATAGTGATTAATTCACAGCCTATGTTTAATTTCATTTAAAAATTAGTTGTTTGACATCCCCAATTATAATAAATGTCTACAGATGAGATCAAACAAAACAGATGAGAATTGCTCTTAAAGAGCAAGTCACCCCCAAATAAACTTTTTTTTGCTGATAAACTAAATAAACGAGTGTCTAATCGTGCTGCAGACACGTGTCGTCAATAATTTGGCACTTCAGTGCATCTTAGTTAAAATTTAAATATTCTGCCTAAAACTGGCAGTGTTGTGCCGTTGTCAGGTAAAAACTCTGCACTGTATTTTAATTTAAATCTGCCACCGCTATTGGCTAAGAAGTATGCTATGATGTAAACTGGTACATTATGATGTCACAATGCTGTCGTGAGCCTGAGTGTGTGTGTATTTGTTAGCGGCTCCGCCCTCTCGGTCTGCCAGGCAACAGCATGTGTTGCATTTTTCAAACATGAAGCAGGAGTGGAGTTAGACTCTGGTAGGGGTTGACTTGCTCTTTAAGCTGTTTAACTTGGACCAAGCATTTTAGGTCACAGATAGATGTAGCTTAAGGTCTCTGTCTATACACCTTATAAGACAATTTAGGTGATGGCATGTTGGTTTTCTGCTATTGAACTGTTTTCTAATAATGTTGTGTTTAATAAAGTGAAGGAAGGAGAAAAATAACGTTTCCCTAGCAGTTTTAAAAAATGTCCCTATGTAATCCGATTAATCGATTAATCGTGTCGAGACCCCATCCGATTAATCGATTATCCAAATAATCGTTTGTTGCAGCCCTAGCTGAAAGCATGGAGCCTGTGGTGGAGGAGGTTCTCGTAAAGAAGACCGGTGCAACATCGGTCATTTGGACTTGGTTTGGCTTTAAGGAGTCGGATGTGGAGCAGAACAATAATCTGCAAAGTATGTCGGAAGAAAGTATTAGCGAATAGAGGGAATACATCTAATTTGTTTTACCACCTCAAAACGAAGCACGTTGTGGAATACGAAGAAAGCCAAAAACTGCGTCCTCAACAAACGGCCAGTCAGTCGAGCGGTAAGGAAAAAGGTGGTCTTACACACCAGCAGACGGATATTTTACAAGCATTTGCTAAAGGCACTCAGTATGAGAGAAATAATCAACGGTGGATTGATATTACAAACGCCTTTACCACGTACCTGTGTAAGGACACGGTGCCGTTTCTTACAGTGGAGAAAAGCGGCTTTCGAGACACGATTAAGACACTCGATCCACGTTACGAGGTACCGAGCCGCAAACACTTCAGCCAAACAGAGATGCCAAAACTGTACGAGAAAGTCCGCGAGCCAGAAAATTAATACATTTTCTTAAAATGGCATTTTATCCTGTTTGAAGTGTGTTTATTCTGCTGCTGCAATGTATCTGGTACGTGAGTATGTTTTGACATACAGTCGTTTTTGACAGATATACAAAAGAAAGTCATATATCGTTACCGTTACCGCACTTTTTTCAAATTATATCGCAATACAGATTTTAGGCTATATCGCCCACCCCAAGCCACTTCATTAATTTTATTCATTTTTATTTCCACAAAATCTTCATTGCTATACTGTGTTGGAACGTTGTTAAGAGGCGTTTTTTAAGTAAGTTCTCTTGTTTGGCAGATTTGCTATTGCAGCTTTAAAGACAAGCTGCTCTAGTACCCAAGATCTGGTGCTAAAGTAGCCGCAGGAATCATTTTATTAGAAAATGGTTGAAAAACGGAGATTTCAGAGTTTAGTTTTCTTAATTCAAACCTGAATAACACAATAAAACTACTTCTTTTATCTTTTATTCTCTATAATGCAAGATGCTGATTAGATTAAAGCTCCAGTAAAAACAGATTTATTTTATAATAATCATTATTTACCAATGTTACAGGTGAAAATCAGATTGTTGACAGGCAGATTGGTGTTGCTGCAGAGGAGCAACAAAACCAGCCCGAGTTGGAACAGCAGGACGGCGGTCCAGAGGAGCAGAGCATGGAGACAAGTTCTGCTGAGGACCAGGAGAACCTGGAGAAGGAAAAACGCAAAGAAATCAAAGTACGTCCCAAGTTTAAAGAACAAGTTGCCCCCAAATAAACTTTTGTTTGCTGATAAACTATAAATGAGTGTCTAACTGTGCTGTTAACATGTGGAGTCAAGAATTTGGCACTTTAGTGCATCTTAGTTAACATTTAAATATTCTGCCTCAAACTATTAGTGTTGCACCCTCTTCAGGTAAAACCTCTGCACTGCATTTTTATTTAAATCTGCCATTGCTGTTGCCTAAGAGGTACGCTATGACGTTAGCTGGTACATTGTGATGTCGTTATGAGCCTGTTTGTGTATTTGGTAGCGGCTCCACCCTCTTGGTAGACAACACTGGCCCAGTCCCAATACTCTCAATTGCACCCTTGCGCCCTTCATTTGCGCGTTCCCGGCCAGGGTTGTGAGTGCGTAGGGTGTTCTGATTCTCAAGTGCGGAAGTTGACCACGCCCCATTGCACCCTTAATCTGCTCTTCACCCAAGTCCGCAGCGATGCAGACCTCGGGCAAGGGTATTACCCACAAGTCATTGCTGCAGGAGAAAAGGCTCAAGTTACTGTTCTGAAAATATTTATTTTCTAATGAAAGTAGTTAATTTTAGGACGATTAGTTGATGCTCTGAAACTCTTAGATAAAGCAGCAATAAATGTAAATTTATTTCAAAGAACTGTTTGGTTGTTTGTTTAAAAGTTGTTAAAGGTTTTTGAAAAAAGTATCACAGCGGCCAGCATCCCAGCACGCGCTGCGATCGATGACGCAATGCTCCCTGTCCCAATTCTGCAGTTATCTGCACACTTGTGTACCACGCACTCAAACCTTACAGCACACTTTCTTCAAGTGCACTTTGCTGAAGTCTGCAGGGCGCAGTGCGAGTGTTGAGATTGGGCCAGTATTTGTTGCATTTTTCAAACAGGAAGTGAGAGTGGAGTAAGACTGGCAGGGGGTGACTTGCTCTTTAAGAACAGAAGCTAGCTCATGTGTTTTATTTGTGTAAAGGTGGGTATTTCCTTTTGAGTTAATGGAGTTTTTTTTTTTTTTTTTTAAGGCTCAAGAAAAAAAGTCAAAGCTGGAGGAGAAGCGACGGAAGCTGGCAGCTGCCGCTGCCCTGCTGGGAGGCAGGAACGCTGATGGGTCGGTGTCAGATTAGCTCTGCCGTTCTCTCTCTGCACCACTCTGCTCTCCTCAGCATCAGCCGTCTCCTGCTCTCACTCTGCTTTCATCAGTTTACAATTAAACCGTGCACTAAGCAAAAGCTACTCGAAGAGATGTCCAAACATAAAAAAATATATGTATTCACGACAAAAGCCTTGAAAATGATCATAGCAGTCGTAAAGCATAATTAACCTTCCTCTGGGTGAACACAGAGCGATTAGTTAGCGGTGCTCTTAGAGGCGTGAATGAATGGATTGTTCCTCGTATAAATGTGAGAACCCTAAAGGTTCTTATGATTGATGCATGAGCTGAAATGAAGGTGGCATCTGCTCCTGAGGCATTGATCTTCTCTATATCACAACAGCTTTAAAGACAGAAACCAGAGTCCAGAGTTCCACGTTGTCCTAAATCAGCTTCTGATTCTCATCCAGATAGAAAATATTGAGTGGTTCTCAGCTGTGCAGGGGCAGGAACTCCTCCAGCACTGATGAGCTAAACTACTGAACTGCCTACCTACACATTTCTAATTAATCTACTGTTGACGATGCATTTTTTTCTAAAATGTTAGGCAGGTTTGCTTGATCATCTTTGTTTCCCACATGCAGGCTGGTCATAGCGAGTCGCTTTCACCCCTGTCCCGTCCTCAGTCTGATCAAGTTCCTCTCCCCCTCGCGGCCTTTCGTGGTTTTCTCACAATATAAAGAGGTGAGATGTGCACGACTGTCTCTTAAATGACTGCTTTTTGTTTGCTTTAGTATTTATGATTACAAATGAAACCGGAAACAGGAGAATATGGTGCAAAAGTCCATTTATTTCAGTACCTCATCTTAGACCGAGAGACCATTTAAAGGCTCAGGAACCTTTGGCAGGTGTTTTAGATTAATTCGCTGATTAGAGTGTGACACTTTGAGCCTTTTCATAATATTCTAATTATGTAAAATTTTGAATTTGGGGTTTTCATAAACTGTAAGCCATAATCATCCCAATTATAACACAGTTAAATGCAGTTTATTTAAATGGCGCCAAATCACGACAAGTCTCGTCTCAAGGCACTTCACAAAGTAGACATTCCAATACAGGTCAGTTCATTAAGCCAATCAGTAAAAGGTTTCTTATATAAGGAACCCAGCAAATTGCATACAGTGATCCTCATACTAAGCAAGCATGTAGCGACTGTGGAGAGGAAAACTCCCTTTGAACAGGAAGAAACCTCCGGGGGATCCCGGCTCAGTATGAATTATTATTTCCTGCCTGATTTCTACAGACGCTCATCGAGTGCTACACAAAACTTAAAGAACAAGGCGGCACGGTCAACCTCAGACTCACCGACACCTGGCTCCGGCATTACCAGGTAAATAAATACTCATCCTGAATCCCTCAGATTTTCTGAACAAATGGAAAAAAAAAAGTTTGCAAAGAAACAGAAAACGACGACGGCTTCTGAGAGTGGCTGAAGGTAGCTTTTGTCGACTTCCTTCTGTTTTCTCTCTCCCAGCCACGGCAGCAGGGTTTACGTCTCCTGACTGCGTCTCTTTTGGTCCCCAGGTTTTGCCTAACAGGACTCATCCTGTGCTGCTGATGAGCGGGGGCGGGGGCTACCTCCTCTCAGGGACAACTGTTGCCATGGACCACTCCAAACCAGCTGGCTCCCTACAAGCTGAGGGGCCAGCGCCAAAGAAACAGAGAATGGACGAACACTGAGGCATGAACGAATCTAAACCTAAAGGGGTTGTTGAACTACAGCTGTCAGATCGCTTCTTAGGCTATAATGTCAAGAACGTGGTTTAAAAAAGCCACCTGAGATGTTTTTGATGTAAAAAAAAGTGATGAAATTATCTTTTTCATTTTTTAAACAACAAGTTTATGTTTTGAAACCAGCTGTTAACTGTTTTTTAAGTCATTTGTTACAAATTAGACTTGCAAATATAGGTTTACTGTATCTGCACAGGATTATATTCATTATGTGACCACTTTGACCTCAAGAAATAAAAAAAAACTTGTTTTGGTCCCAGAATAACTTCCTTTATTCGGTGCAAACAGAACAAACTTTTTAACACGTTTGAATCGTTTTCTTAAACGTTTCTCAGACAAATTTATAGAAACACCAAAAGTCATTCCCATGCTGAATAATGAGTCGTCCTTACATCACTAAACACTACGAAAATGGCAAAAGTTTGGTGTGTTATCATATTTAGTCACGTTTATCAATAAGAGCACAAAACTAGCAGAGGAACAGCAAGATGGAGGATTTTTATCCAAACGCTGCAGGATCACGCGGGCTTGTCGTGCAGCTTGGCTGCAATTTTCCGCAGCTCCGTGTCCATCGCTGCCAGGTTCTCCAGCTCGTTCTCCTGAAAGACATCAAAACTCTGAACTGTAAGTGGCCGCGGGTGGAAGTGTTGCTGCAGCATGTGTGTGTGTGTGTGTGTAGAGGAGACCCCTAATGGGTTGATTGCTCCCTTGAGTTGCATATTCTCTGATTGTCCTTGCAGCTAAAGTGTGGTGGAACAAATGCATCACTATGACACCGCCTCAGTAGTCTGTTTCTCTGCTCTAATGCACATGACTAGATAAGGAGACTCCTGCAGGCGACCGTCCTTCTTTTTATGAGCATATTAGGGCTGATTGCTCTTGGAGGCAACTATCATTAGACTCTGATCACTGCGGCAGTCAAAGTACTGGCGGGAAAATCCAAACGGGGCAGAAAAGTTGAGAAACAAAACGTCGTCAGGAGCGAATGTGGATCGTGGGTAAGCCAGGGTTAAAGGCCGGTGTTGGGAGCCTACGGTGGATTCTTTTGAACGAGCGCGGTAGAGAAATGTGTTAAGTGCATCATGAGTGGAGGATAGGCAGCACGGTATACCTCCGGTGGAGTGAGCGCCCTCGTCGTCTTTGCCTCCTCCTGAGCAGAGTGGTGAGCCAGCTGGTTGATCCTGTAGCTCAGCAGCTGGGCCAGTTGGTCCATCTGAACCAGTCCAATAGAGGTTAAACGAAGGGTTACCTTAAAGTCCGCAGCCTTGCATGCAGTTAAAAAGTTTGAACGGTTGGACGTCTGCACAAACGGCTGAAAACTAGAAAAGGATTTTATCACCTTGTTTGAAGCAGCAGCTGGTTCCTCTGAATCCCGTTTATACCAGGCAGGGTGGTAGTAGCCTCTGGAGATCCAGGGATTACGCTTCTCAGCCAGATACCTAAAATGGTCCAATCGGGAAGCGGTATGAACACACGGATGTTTGGTTTGAGCATGTTTTGCTTTAACCCTTTGATGCATGAATTATGAAATCTTCAACCATGATTTTTTAAACATTTTTTTTCATTCATCTTTAGGTGTGAATGAAACAAATTTCATATTTACATATTTTTTGTAACATTTAATTTACACATAGTTTATTACATGTCCACCTCAGTGGACAGCGTGCATTCTGAACATGAAATATGTTGGCTTGGCTTACTGAAGTCCAAATGAAGGGGCTTAAATGCAGTAAAGTCTTCAACAGCTGTGCTTAATAGCAAAAATAAATAAATAACAATTTTGAGTACCTGTCCACTGTAGTGACCATTATGCATCAAAGGGTTAAAATCTGGGAAGTTGGAAAACTGAACAACTATGACAGAAGAATTACCTCAAAGCTTCATCTCTGTCTTTCTCATCTTCTGTGTATTCATCCGAAGTTCCCCTCTGCTCTTCCTCCGACGGTCCTCCTGCTCGCTTGTTAAGTCTTTGTTTATGGTGGTATCTGTGTGTCGGCTTCCATATCCTTTTCTCTATTTCTCCCTCTTCTGTTTCCTGTCTCTTTTCGTAACCCCAGTCCTCCTGACTGCGTCCTCCTTCCGGTTCCTCTCTGGCCTCCTCTGGTAGCTCTTCATCACGTCGTTGTCTCCTCTGGTGGAATCTGCCCGGCCTCCAGTTCCGTTTCTCCATTCCTGTATCAAAATCCCAGTATTCCTGACTGCGTTCTTCATCCGGTTCTTCCCGGTTGCCCTCGGATGGCTCTTCATCACGTCGTTGTCTCCTTTGGTGGAATCTGCCCGGCCTCCAGTTCCGTTTCTCTACTCCAGTATCAAAATCCCAGTATTCCTGACTGCGTTCTTCCTCTGGTTCTTCCCGGTTGCCCTCGGATGGCTCTTCATCACGTCGTTGTCTCCTTTGGTGGAATCTGCCCGGCCTCCAGTTCCGTTTCTCTACTCCAGTATCAAAATCCCAGTATTCCTGACTGCGTTCTTCCTCTGGCTCTTCCATGTTGCCCTCGGATGGCTCTTCATCACGCTTGTGTCTCCTTTGGTGGAATCTGCCCGGCCTCCAGTTCCGTTTCTCTACTCCAGTATCAACATCCCAGTATTCCTGACTGCGTTCTTCATCCAGTTCTTCCCGGTTGTCCTCGGATGGCTCTTCATCACGCTTGTGTCTCCTCTGGTGGAATCTGCCCGGCCTCCAGTTCCGTTTCTCTACTCCAGTATCAACATCCCAGTATTCCTGACTGCGCTCTTCCTCCGGTTCTTCCTGGTTGCCCTCGGATGGCTCTTCATCACGCTTGTGTCTCCTCTGGTGGAATCTGCCCGGCCTCCAGTTCCGTTTCTCTACTCCAGTATCAACATCCCAGTATTCCTGACTGCGTTCTTCATCCGGTTCTTCCCGAGCGTTTTCCAGAGGTTCTTCATCACGCTTATGTCTCCTCTGGTGATACCTTCCAGGCCTCCAGTTCCTCTTGTCAACACTCCAAGACTCCTGGCTGCGGTCCTCATCAACCTCGCCCTCCAGCGGATCATCGCTGCGCTTGTGGAGCCTTGACTTGTGATGGTAACGATGTGTGGGCTTCCATATGCGCTTATCTCTTTCCTCCTCATCCTCGTACCTTTTGTTTACATCCCAGGACTCCTGGCTGCGCTCTTCCTCCGGTTCTTCTTCTTCTCCGTCATCTCGCTTGTGTCTTCTTTGATGATACCTGCCGGGTCTCCAGCTCCTCTTCTCTTTTTCTTCACTTTCCTCGGCCACTTCTTCATCCTCCGACCTCTTTTCCGTGCCTCCCCAGCTCTCCTGACTACGCTCAAAATCTTCCTCCTCTCCGCGTTTGCTTTTCCTCTGGCGGTACCTTCCAAGCCTCCAGCTGCTCCTTTTCACCCGTTCTCCTCCATCTCCATTCTCTGACGTTCTGTCTCCCAGACTCCAGGATTGCTGATTGTGCTCATCTTCAAGGTTTGCTCTCTCTTCCTCCACGGATTTCAGAAGCGCTTCAATGTCTTTCACGTCTGCTGCCTTTGCTGCAGGTTCCTCAGTGTGACCTTTAGAAGCCTCCTCTTGTGTTACGAGTCCATCACTGCTCTTCTTGTTCAGCGAGGCGTGATTAACCCCTAAGACAAAAAGAAGGGCTAAAGATTAGCTTTAAAAAGATTTGAACGTCATTATGGGAACATGTTTCAGGCTGTTGAAAGAATGAGAAGTCCACCATGTTCACTGAAAGAACTGGACAACCCTAAGCAGCAAAGATCATGACAAACTTTAACTGACGGTTAATGAATGTCTGACTTTGCATTTGAATTGTGGTTGAACAAAATCATTTAAAGAAGACATAAACATGTTTCTGACGTTTTTTGCTCTAAATCTCTATCATAAAAACCCTTTCATCCGTTTAGTTCTCGACAGTTTCAGTACCTTCCAGAATGAGCCGTTTTTGGGCTTTGCCACTTTAAAGAGAACAAGCTGGAGTTGGCCACGCCCACCCATCCCCGATTTGCTGTTATAAGATGAAAAGCTCTGATATGTCAGCAGCAGTTCTCCCTTCCTGTAATGAGGGCCTCTATTCTACTTTCCCTGTTTGTGACATCACAAAAGGGGACTTTTATTTCACATTTAAAGTGTTTACAGAGGCAGTAGAGACCCACACGGCAGCACTAAAGGATGCAAAATGTGAGTTTTGCATTGAAACAAACTAATTAATCATTAACTCTGACGAAGATGCATCTTGCGTCAAAACGTTAGTGCCGTTTTTCCGACTTTGCACCTATCAAAACTTGACTCACCTACTGTAAGTGCTCCAGCTCCTCAGTTTTCTTCAAACCAATTAAACTTATTTGTACAACCAAGACTTTTGTGTTTCAGGTCTTCCTCATTCTGTTGGAGGATTGATGGGTTGAGACAAGACTTTCTGACATGGGCGGCACATTTAGCTCCACATTGCCTTGATGGTCTTGAAATTTCATTAAACCCTGCCTAACATGCAGCAAACCTGCTGCACACACTGGATTGAGCCTCCTTCACAGCAGGTTCAGTGCTCTTTTCTTCATGTTCGTTTCGGTGAATATGGAGCTCACGCTGTCGTGTGTCCAAGGGACATTCTCCCACAAGCTTTGTGGCTTGTTGTTTTTAATTTATCCAGTGGTTCAGTTGTCCACTTTGTTTCAAACAGCAGCAGTTCAACATGTTCAGATTTAGTCGGAGGAACACCAAGCTGCATTGAAATGGTCTTCCAGCCTTTACCTGCACACCACTGGTCAATAATAGTCTTTCTAATCTCATGAGACAACTCTGTCCTGAGCTTTCTGTGGTCCATTCAGTGTGGTACACACTCGGATACCAAACAGCACTGTGACTGCATGTTCTTCTTTCAGTAGGCTGACTGTCGGATTAGAAGAATGAAGCGGTGGTGCTGATGACGGGACACATCTTGGTTTAGCGTGACCCGATGGTCAAATTATTTTCTTTAGTTTTTTTTTCCATTTTTGTCCAAAGTAGTTTATTAATTTCAATGTTTTTTTCTGTTAAACCACAATTCAAAAGCAATATGATGTTGATTTTCAGTATGCTTATTTATTTAGTATAGTTGTTGTATTTTGCATTGAGGGCATTGTTTTCAGTAACTGAAGGCTAAAAACTGTTTTATTCACATCTTTAATTTAATTTAGTAACAACAAAAAAAAAGAGCTCGTGCTCAAAAAGAAGCTATTTTTTTCTTTTTGCATGTAGAAATACAAAATCAGGTAAATCTATGAGCTCGATCTGAACTGACCTGCTTTTATGATGTCTCTGCATTCCTGATCCAACTGAGCGTCCGGTGTGGAGAGAGCTTTGGACAGGACTTCAGCCAAACATCGTGTTACCTGCAGAATCCAATCAAGTCAGATCTCCGATCAGAGGCAAAGGTTTGATCAAAACAAAGCGTTTTATGTAGCTGGAAAAGCATACCACGTCTTCTCTCTGTCCCTCTTGGCTGAGTGGAAGCGCTAGACTTTCTGCATTTGAACAAACAAATTAATAAAGCAGTGTCTCTGTCCATGGTCCTGAAACTGCAGAAAGACACGCCAGGTTTTCGCTTACCTGTAAGAAGACAAGTAACGACTACCAGGATGGGTCTCATGTTGTTGAAGGGTGGGTGGAACCGCTGTGAGACCAGCTCCCGTCCCTCCGCAGAAGCCGGACAGAGCTGCGCTGCTGCTCTGAGGTCTGCAGCCCAGGAGCGCCTCAAATAAGGACGGGGAGAGGCGTGCGTGGGAGGACGGCTCCGGGCTTCATGTCATGACTCATTAGACCTGAGCGAAGACCGACACAAAAACAGGATCGATATTTGTTTTGCGTTTTCATTTGTTTTGAGTGAAACTGTAATCTGGTTCGTGTCACGACGCGTTCAGGTGACGCGCGCGGCGCTTGCTGCAAAAAGCTGCACGAACACGCTGCAGTCCTGCAAAACTTTGAAGATGTTGTCCTCGTTTCTGAGTGAATTCAGCCTCTGATCACTTCTGCTTGTACCGTTTTGTGTCAAAACCGAACACAATGTTTCAATTTGCTGAAATAATGAGGTCAGGCTCTTTGTAATAATTATTAACGATTCAGAGCTGGAGGCATTTTGATTATTTAAATGTATTAAACAAAAGTTTTGTTTTGCAGAAATATTTTATTTATTGTTATTTATATCTTTTCTCTATCCAGTTTTGCCATTGTCACTCTGCAGAGTGTAGTTGCTTCCTGCACTTTACTGATGCTTTTAAACTTTCTTTACAAGTGTGGATTTTGGGAATTTTTTTTACTCCAAAGTAAAATTCTAAATGCTCACCAGACAAAACGTCATGACACTGTTAACACCTGAAACTTTCCATAAAGTTTAAAGAACTAGAAAGCTAAATAAAACCTAACCGACAAACTAAATCTGTTGAATGTTTCAATAACATTAAACTTCAGAAGATGGTTGATGAGAGGTCTGGAATGACCTTTCTCCATGCATAGGCTCCGCCTCAGAATGCATCACTACTCAGTACTTACCCCCATTTTGTCACTTTGCACCACAGGTTTGTGTCGGCTAACATGATAGTTATTAAAGACAAAATCAAAGGTTCTGTGTATGAGTCAAAAACGGTCATAAATCAATCCTCATGAATTAACTCAGCCAAACACGGTCAGTCTGATTCTTTATTGGGAGCTGATGAGCTTAGTAGCAGCAGAAGGGAGACGTGGAGGCCTGTGAGTGACCACACTTCTCCAACACTATAATAAAAACAGGAAAGAAACGATTGGCACAAATAACATTCCCAAGATTTTTTTGATGAGTAGACTTTCAGCATTTAAAGACTCGGGTTTTAAATCCTTGTATAAAACATCCATCCATCAATTTTCTGAACCTGCTTTGTCCATGTGGGACCTTGGGGGTGGGGGGGCTGGTGCCTATCTCCAGCGGTCAACGGGCAATCAGGCGGGGTACACCCTGCGGAGAGCCAGTCCATCGCAGGGCAACACAGAGACACACAGGACAAACAATCATGCAAACACACACTCACACCTAAGGACAATCTAGACAGACCAATCAACTTAACGGTCATGTTTTTGGACTGTGGGAGGAAGCCGGAGTACCCGGAGAGAACCCACGCATGCACAGGGAGAACATGCAAACTCCATGCAGAAAGCTCCCAGGCCGGGAAGCGAACCCAGGACCTTCTTGCTGCAAGGCAACAGCTCTAACCACTGCACCACTGTGCAGCCCTTGTATAAAACAAGGTGCATGAATAATAAACAACCCTTTTGTAATATTTCCTGAGTTGGTATAAACTTATGTGAAGAGAGGCAGAACTCCGGCACCACGGCCTCAGTTCAGAACATTCCATCTGACAGCTGTGGGCATCTTTGTGATGACTCTTCACACATTTGCTCCTCCTGTCTCCCCTCAGCGGAGCCACACTAGTGACCAGTATGAGAATTAAAAGCATTGGGGTGAAAAGCACGTTCGCATGAGCTGTTTACACAAAAACCACTGACCTTCATCTGTGCCAGAGTGTGCACAAATTCAATCATGTCTTGGAAACCACGAGTGCAGAAACTCAGCGGCTCTGAGCAGTGTGAGAGCACACCGTGCTCGTTAAATCAGTGCTTTTCATGCCTCCATGACTGGTTACTGGTATTTGTTACTGCAGACAGCCTCCACTGGGGTAAAATATTAACTGGCTAGAGCATAAAACTGTAATGTCAGATGGCGTATTGTGCATTCAAGCAATTCGTGCTCATCCAAAGCCGTCAGCATGGTCAGTCTTTGGTGTGACTTATAGGGAGGACATTTCATGTGTTTATGAGCAGCTGCAGCAGCAGAATGGAGCTCTGCAGATTCATAGATTATCACTGAGGAGAAGGTTTGACAGCACCCCAGCTACAATTGGTTATGAGTTACCCAGCTGTATGTGTTCCTGTGAATAGATTTGCGTGATGCACCGCGTGTGGTTTTGTCCAGTTTCTGCTCTTCCTCCAGTTCTGATTAACATTTATAGATATATGGAGATTAACAGAGGATGTTTGACTCTGAGAACACTCAGCCCGTGCGCTGGTCAGTCCCCGTCTGTAATAAAACTCCACTTTCATCATTTCTATTTCCATTCAGGAACAAAAGACAGATCTGCTCACACAGAAAACAATACAAGTGCTGCATGAAAGCCTCATCTGTGCTTTGATCTTTGGTCTGAGACACACTTTAGATTCAGGCCCTTGTCTACTGAAACACTTTGATGACAATACAGGAGTCGTCAGCCGTCTGGTACAATAACTTTAGCAAATATCTGGTTAATGTATCCTTTTATTTTATCTAACATTTTGTTAACATTTAGTTCTATTACCATTATTTTAAAGGTTAATGAGTATTTTTAATCATGATCAGTCACTCTGAGTTTTTCATGCGGGCTGAACATAAAAATAGTCTCCTACACTTATCTCCTGGATTAGCTTCTGAGGGAAAACAGACTGTAAAAATCTAGAATTTTAAAAGCCAGACAGATCGATGTCATACTGTCACTTGTAATTCACAAACTCACCCATCTTGACTCAAGATGGAGAAGGCTGCTGTTGGTTTAGCATCCACAGCTAAATGGATTCCACATTCTTTCACCTGAGATGCCTTGCAAAAATCACGCCTATGCTGTCGAGAGCCCACCTGGAGCGGGTACTGCATGCCTTTGTAATTTCTAGGCTTGACTACTGCAACTTTCTCTATGCAGGGTTGCGTCAGTCATCACTGCGTCGCCTACAGGTTGTGCAGAACAGCGCCGCCAGGTTCCTGACTGGGACCAGGAAACGGGACCACATCAGTCCGGTTCTGGCCTCCCTGCACTGGCTTCCGATTTGCTATCGCTCACAATTCAAAATCCTCGTCTTTGTTTATCATTTCTTCCAGGGTGGTGGTCCCCCCTATCTGGCCACGCTCCTGAACAGACATTGCCCATCACGCGCTCTGCGCTCCTCTGACCAAGGCCTGCTCGCTGTCCCTCGGTCTAGGTGTTGTACCCGTGGAGACCGGGCTTTCTCAGTCCTAGCACCGTTACTCTGGAACCAGTTGCCACCCTCAGTTAGGCTGTCCCCCTCTCTGCCAGCCTTTAAGAGTCGCCTAAAAACACACCTCCTCCGCTTGGCGTTTCCTGAACGTGTTTAATTTGGCCCTCTTTTATGTTGAATTTATCTCACAGTTTTCATTGGTTCACTCAATCCATCCACTCAATCCAAGTGTGTTTCACACATTTGTCCTGTACCAGAATGTTTCATCTATCTTGTAATTTGTATTTTGTAATTTGAATTGCTTTTGTTGATTTATTCAATATATTTACCTACAACTGTACCATGTTCAGCGCTTTGGGCTTCCTGACAGGGTTGCAGAAGGCGCTTTATAAATAAAGCTTTGATTGATTGATCCAGGAAACAGCAGAGAACGTCTTGGCTAGAAGAAGCTAACCCGTAGCATTCGCAGCTCCACCACACAGCAGAACTCATCCAGGCTCGTGTTCCGAGGTGAGATGTTCAAGTATCAGAAAAAAGGACTCCAAAACATGCCATCTGAAGCTCGGCTGGGACGTGGCTCACTAGTTTTCAGCCAACTCCACCTCTCCTGGGATCCATTCATTTCCCTCTTTCCCTTTACTTACAACTTTTAATCACAATTTTTCACATTTTTATTTTACTATTGTTTTCTTTTTTAGACAGGATGTTTAAATTACAGTTTGAACTGACACAATCTTAATACTGCATTTATTGTGGAAAAAAAACTACAAAATTATTCACTACAAGTTAAAATTGTGGCAGCAAAATGTGCAGCAAAGGCCACCTGTCAAACCCAAAACCCTCATTGATTGTCACGTTAACAAGTCACCCCCCAGGACCCGATCTGAGGTCACCGACTAATGAAGCGTTACACATATTGACAACAGCTAAATGTTTGAACCCTAAGGAGAGTTTTGACAACATAATCTGATTACTTCCTTTGTGCTGTCTGAGTCCAGACTTCACATCGTTTAACGTTATCAGGATTGTTTAACATCAGAGTCAATTAACCAGAAGAGCTGAAGGCCAGTAAAGGTAAAACACTTAGGGGACAATATTAATCATCTTTAGCAACTACATTTAAAAATTTACTGATTTCTGTCATTCCAGTAAACTGTGTCGAATAAATGAAGAAATGCTGTATAAATCCTTTAGGAGACTCAAAAGATGCAGGTATGTAAGATGTATTCAGTTTGTGAAGAGCTTGTGATCTTTTACTAAAGCTGTGGTCCAGTAGTTATTACAACAAAACACTAAAGTGTACTTAAAAGTGTACATACTTGCTCATAACCATCAGAAAGATTGGATTAATGGGGCTGAAATGTTGACTGATTTGTGATGAAACTCAGTCCCATATCTGCTGACGTCTGCTGTTCCGATGCTGCACCGACTCAGCTGTAGAACCACTGAGCCAAATCCAGAACGCAAAATTAAATTACACAAAACCACATCCAAGTATGAAAACAGCTACAAATTCAGCGTCTGTTCCTGTAAACAATGTTAGAAATACATCAGCTACAGCTCTCAGTCCAAAATGCTTTTTGTATGTTCCACACCCAGCTTGAGCTTACTTCTCCTCTAGCTCTCATCATTTGGCCATTTTTATATTATACGTTACACATGTTTACTATAATTAGCTAGGGTTGAAGGGCCTCAGTTTGAAAAAGGGCCAAACTATTCTCACAATTCTAACTTTGTCTGTATCTACTTTTGTCAGAGGGCACCATCTAGAGGCAGAAAAAATGCACTGCCCCTGCGAGCCCCTCTTCCTACTGCTATAT